GCTGCGAGAGAACTCCAGTCTAATGCGTTATCATCCGCCGTTCCAGGCGATGCAATGCAGATATATCTGAGAATTCCTCCCTTCCTCCACCAAGAAGAAGCACTTTCGCCTCCCAGACAGTAAACTTACCCCACGGGGTATACCCTTGCACCCGGCCCTCTTCCCCCCCTCCCTTGTCATGTAGGGTTGATAACTCCAAGGTGGTCATTGGCGTCACTGACAGGGTGGGGAAGAGTTAATTGAACGTGGAGCCGAGAGTATGATAGCGGTTGTTGAGGACTGGGGAAGTGAGTGGGAGGGAAAAGTTTAGTGGATGGATCATCTCACCCGAGCTCGCCCGAAGCGGGTTGAGTTGCGCTCGCTTACCAGGCAAGTTACCATGGATGGATTGCATCGGCTGGGACTAGAGTCTGTGCACGGCACTTGGGGGGCAAAACTCGGTGCGAACCTGGGGATGGCCACGTGTTGACCAGACCAGACCTATCTCGACGTGATCCACTTTTGCTTCTAACGGTTTGGATGCTAGACTACCTCCGTCGTCCGTCTTCGTCCTTAGTATACACCGGCATTAACGGCAGACTGCTTACCGAGGAATTGCTCCGGAATATAGTCCAATTAGGATGAATGGACATCTACTGTGTACGCCTTAGAGCAATGAAAATCCAAATCACAATCATAACAGGAGTATCATTCTCAAACTACATAAAACAAAACAAAACACAAGATCTAGTAAGGAATCACCCCCGCCAACTTCAACAACCGCTCCGTCCGCACCGGCTTCGTCAGGGGCTCATCTCTCTCCAACGGATCAACGCGTTCCTCCCCATCCACCGTCACCGTCGCCTTACCATGAGTATACAGATTGGTATGGGGCCAATGGGTGGTGGTCTCGAAGTGCTCGAACAGCTCCGCCTTGGTGCGGCGGTCCGCGTCGGTCATCCACGCCGCGGGCGTGTAGGTCGCATACACGATGGTGCGCACGACCTCCGACTCGCCGAACCGCGCCCAGTGGACCTGCCGCGAGTCCCAGATGATGAGGTCCCCGGGCTCGGCGCAGACCTTGACCAGCTCGCAGCCGCGCGAGGTATACCACTCCAGATCCGCCTCGGAGAAGGGGTGGAAGTCCTTGTGTTTGGCCGTGCGCCACGGCGTCGGCCCCGTCACGGGGTTTGCCGCGAAGAACTCGTCGAACAGGGGCGCCGACCCCTTCATCACCACCAGCCCGCCGTCCGCGGGGCCAGCCTCCGACAAATTCACGATCCCCTGCACGCACTGCATGCCCGACCGCTCGGGCGCCTGGTCCACGTGCGGCCACGGCTTGGAGTCGTACTCGCCGACGATCGACTGCGGGAGCGTGATGTTCACCGTGTCGAAGGAGACGACCAGCTCGTCCGTTTCCCAGAGTTTGGCGAATGGGGCGATCACGCCGGGTTCACTGCGTGCAGCAGTGTCAGTATTCAAGTCGATGTTCGGGGGTGGATATGACTGAAAGAGGGGGGAATCACGTACCAACGAACGTCCCAGACGTACTTCTCGTGCGCCGCCGAGAAGTGCAGGTACATCCCGCCCTTCCAGCTCTGCGGCAGGTTCTCTTTCTTCCAGGTGGATTTGTCGTGCCGGTCGAATCCCAGCCCGAAGGACTCGAGCCAGTCCAGCGCCCGGCTCTGGTATTCCTGCGCGCGCTCCGGCGTCAAGGCGCCCTTGATGACCGCGTAGCCGTTGCGGAAGAATTCGTCGCGGAAGTCGCCATACTGGGTTTTCGGGTTCTGGCTCGACTGGAGCTTGGTCGGCGCCACCGGTGTGGCCTCGGGCGTATCGATGCGGGAGGGGGCCATAATGTGAGATCGTATGTATGTTAGCAAGCAAGGTGGAAACTATGGATGTGGAAATCTTGAGTGACGGCGGGAGGAGGGTATCATTCGGCCTTTTCTATAGCCTCTCTGGAGAGTCATGCCATTGGGACCGAAATCCGACTTGGCGGCTCCTGGTACCAGAGAGTACGCGGTCGAATTGACCCTCCTCCGAAGGACTGCGACATAGTTGCTCAAGCTGATCTGGTCTAGTGGCTTTGTTGAGTGTGGGGGTGGTCAGCAGGACTGGGAATCTTGTGGAAGTGGAGAATCCAGAGATGGTGGAGGATCCATGACAATCTCACCCGAACTCGCCCGCCGAGCCATTTGGGAGTAAACTATGGATTTAAGTACTGTACAACAAACTCGGCCGAGGTGGCGAACCATGAACCATCCATCCCACGCTAATGACAGCCTCAGCCAGCTCCAAATGTCCACAACCCGGCTGTCAGATACCGGAGGATAGCTGCAACTGGGAACACGGTGAAGTTCAATTACCGGTGGGGCCCATCTGGCGTGGGGAAGGGCAAGCATGCTCAGAACCGGCGCACCAGGAAGTGCTCAAAAGAAGGGGAGCGCCCTCACCTGGTCCATGAGGAACAAACAGTAACCTACCAGAAGGGCACCGATCACAATGCCTTCCCCTGTGCCGGTCGCAACACGTCCGATCGACAAGCCCACCGTGGGCAGAAACAACTACCAGCCCTTTGGCTTCCGCGAGGAAATCCTCCCCCAAGGCTGGAATCAAGATGGCTCACGTCCGCTGCCCTGCGACATCCACGCCTCCCACGACGTGGGAATCCAAGTCCGAGACGGCAGCACTCTCTACTGCGACATCTATCGGCCCGCCAACTCGGACAAGCCGGTCCCGGCCATTCTGGCGTGGAGCCCCTTCGGGAAGAAATTCAATGGCATCACATTACTGAAGTTCCTGCCATGGGGGCTGGGAATCCCTAAGGGTGTTCTCAGCGGCCTGGAGAAGTTCGAGGGGCCCGATCCGGCCGAGTTCGTGCCGCGCGGGTTCGCCATCGTCAACGTAGACGCTCGTGGATCGGGCGACTCGGACGGCACGGTGGGGATCATGGGCACGCAGGAAGCCGAGGATGGCTACGATGTGATTGAGGCCATCGCCAAAATGCCCTGGTGCAACGGCAATGTCGGACTGGCCGGCAACTCGCACCTGGCCATCGTTCAGTGGTTCATCGCGGCCTTGCAGCCGCCATCCCTCAAAGCCATCGCCCCGTGGGAGGCATGCAGTGATCTCTACCGCGAGCAATTCGTCCGGGGCGGAGTCTTCGACGCTGGCCTCTTTGACTGGATCATCGACCACAACATCCAGGGTCACGGCGGCGTCGAGGACTTCCACGAGATGTACCGGCGCAATCGGACCGCGGACACTCTGTACTGGAAGGACAAACGACCAGACTTCAGCAAGATCCAAATCCCCGCCTACATCACGGCCTCCTACACCAGCTTCGTGCACACGATGGGCTCGCTACGCGGATGGCTTCAGATCCCCTCCGCGGACAAGTGGCTGCGGCTGTGCCCCTGGCAGGAATGGTACGACATGTGGAACTGCAAAGACTCCGCCCATGAACTGGCATCCTTCTTTGACCACTACCTGAATGGCGCCAGCAACGGATGGGAGCAAACCCCGCGGGTCCGAACCACCATCTTACGCTTCAATCAATCTCCGTTATCCGACATCGTTGCGGAGGACTATCCCATCCCACGCACCGACTATCGCAAGATGTACTTCCACGCCGACGGCACCCTTCAAACCGAGGCCCCCAGCGCAGCTTCATCGCTGTCGTACAACTCGGAGACGTATCAGGACTGTGCAAGCTTCACCTATACCTTCCCGACCCGCACCCGGCTGGCAGGCATCCCCAAAGCGGTGGTATACATGTCCTGTCCCGATTTCCATGATCTCGATGTCTATGTGCTGGTGCGCAAGCTTGATACACAGGGCAAGGCGCTGCTCAATTTGAACATCCCCTGGTCGTCCATCGCAGAGCATGGTGTCAGTCCGAACGACGTTGAGAGTCTCTCTCCACGGGAGAAGACCAATCTCATGTTCCACGTGGGCTCTTTGGGTATCCTGCGGGCGTCAAGACGCGCCATTGATCGCAAGCAATCTCTGCATGAGAACTTTCCCTTCCACCCTCACGACCGGGACGAGTACATCAGCCCGGGCGAGGTGGTGAAGTTGGAGATCGGAATCTGGGCGATGGGGGTGGAGTATGAAGCCGGGGAGAGCGTGCGCGTGGAGATCCATGGGAATAGCCCGCTCCTGCGGGGAGAGTTCAAGGAGGATAACGAATTTCAGGAGCTGGCGTCGCACGGGACGCATATCGTTCACATTGGGGGAGAGCAGTCTTCGCATATCATCCTGCCGTTTGTTTGAGATGTAATACTATTATGAAAATATCACACGATGAATGTTGAAAAACAAAACACCAGCCAGTACTCAGACTACGAAAGTGATAGTAGGTATACCGGAAGTAGAAGCAAGAAGATTAATTAATGAATTATATATTGTAACTGTCGCATAAATCTAACCAAGCGAAGGAGAGCCCACTCATGCACGTACGCCCAGCGTACGATCAAGGGTCATACCAACGGGTCAGCTGACACCACCAAGTAGAAATTTGAATCAGAGATGCCTTCATCGCGTCCGTGAATAACAAGGTATGGTGTGCCGAACGCCTTTCTCAGCCTCGCTCCATCCCGGGATTCCCAGCAGCCCTTAAACCCCGAAAGGAGAGCCAGCTGGGGCCCAAGAGGAGAGATTATCGAAAGATACACGCTAGGCTTTCATCATCTGGAGGGAACGAATGTTAGTAACTATCGTTATCAAGCGGTTCGGTTAACGAAGGTAGCACTCACTTCAAGAAAACTTGGAAGGATGAAGAAGAAAATAAAAAGACGGGCGGAGAATTCCTTTTTTGTAGTGGGCCGGACAGCGCTAGGATCGATGGGGAAAGCGGAAAGATCCCATCTGCCGTGTCGTGCCGCCTTGGACTCCGCAGCTATCGGATCATCATCCCACTCGGCGTCACTCGACAAACGATCTTCTGCACTTGTGTTTGACCTCAATTGGCCTCTCAGACTTCCGTGAAGCTTTGCGAGGACTGATTGCACATGACAATGTTCTTGGCCAGGGCGTCGCGATACTCCCCTCAGCTCCGCGCCAGCTATGTCGAGATTTCCAACTACATCCGCGGCCGACGACCGGCGTTGAACCGGGCTTTCTATGCGCAGAGCTCCCCTCTACGATCTTCCCATAGCGAAGAATCGGCTCACGAGGAGCACCCCCCAACTACCAAGAATACATCTGAGTTGCTTGCCAAGTTCAAGAACTCGAGTAAGTGGTTCCGATCACTCCGCTCTACCGTTCTCGCGCTATCCCGAGACATTGCGACAATACGCCATCGCTAACCATCGTCATCTGCTGCAGTCGAATTCCCGTCCCCGACCTATGACTTCGAGACATTCCTCGCCAATGCCCAACCCGACCAGGAGGTCGTTCTACAAGGCTATGTCGGCAACCGCAGAGAGCTGTCCAGCAAGCTCGCCTTCGTCCGTTTGACGGACCCGACCATGAGACACAGCGTGCAACTGGTCTCCACCAAGAAGAGTGGAACCCTGGCCGCGCTCAAAACGGTGCGCGCGCACAGCCCGGTGGTCATCAAGGGCACGGTCCAGAGAAAGCAAGCAAAGGATGCGGAGATGGCCGAGCGAGACCCGTGGGAGATCGTCCTGGGCGAGATCCAGGCCTTGAATGAGTTCCCGAACGACATCGTCATGACGGGAGATCACGTCCACCCGCCCAAGCACCGCCATCTGCAGCTGCGCTCGAGCAGCGAGCTGCGCGAGGCACTGCGGTTCCGGGCCGAGGCCCGCAACGTCTGCAGGCAGGAGCTGGAGCAGTCGCGCCCGGCGTTCGTCGAGATCGAGACCCCGTTGCTATTCAAGTCCACCCCGGAGGGCGCGCGCGAGTTTCTGGTGCCCTCCCGCAAGCGCGGATTCGCCTATGCGCTGCCCCAGAGTCCGCAGCAGTACAAGCAGATCCTCATGGCCAGTGGGATCCCGCGCTACTACCAGTTCGCGCGGTGTTTCCGCGACGAGGACCTCCGCGCCGACCGCCAGCCGGAATTCACCCAGGTACGCTCCTTACCCCCCCATCCACCTCGCTATATTCCCCGACGGCTGACCACACTCCCCGCAGCTGGATCTTGAGATGTCCTTCGCCACAGGCAACGACGTGATGCAGGTGGTTGAAGGCGTGATCCGCCGTCTGTGGTCGACGCTGATGCCGGAGCCCGCGCCCTCGGGCCCCTTCCGCCGCATGCCCTACCAAGAAGCAATGAGCCGGTACGGCTCCGACAAGCCCGACACGCGGTACGGCATGGAGATCTCGCGCATCGACTACCTGCTCCCGGTCGACCTCGTGCAGAAGATCACCCCGCTCACGGACCCGGTCGTCGAAGTCTTCAAGCTCGAAGGCAACGACAACGACCCGGCGGCCACGCAGGAATTCATCACCCAGTTCCTCGACTCCCCCGAGGGCGCGCCCTTCAACGAGAACCCGGACGGCGGACCGGGCATCTTCGTGGTGGACGCCCGCAAACCGCTCAGCGGACTGCAGCCCTTCGGCTTCGAGGCCGCCGAACACCTGGAGACGACGCTGGGCATCGAGCACGGCGACCTGCTGGTCATCCAGGCTCGGCCGCAGAACTCGCTGACGGGCGGCTCCACGGCGCTCGGCACCCTCCGCCGCGCGCTGCACGCCGCCGCCGTCGCGACGGGCTTCAAGCCCGCCATCCCCGGCTTCGAGTTCATGTGGGTGGTCGACTTCCCCCTCTTCACCCCAGCGGAAGCCGGCGACTCCGCCGAGGAGCCGGGCCAAGGCGGCGCCGCAGGCTTCTCAGCAACCCACCACCCCTTCACCGCGCCCAAGACGGCCGCGGACGTCGACCTGCTCCTCAGCGCGGACCCGACCCAGGCCACGGCGGACCACTACGACCTGGTGGTCAACGGGGTCGAGCTGGGCGGCGGCAGCCGCCGCATCCACGACGCCGCGGTCCAGGAGTTCGTCTTCCGGGAGGTGCTGCGCATGCCCGACCACCGCGTCGCCGACTTCGCCCACCTGCTCGGCGCCCTGCGCGCCGGCTGCCCGCCGCACGCCGGCTTTGCGCTGGGCTTCGATCGCCTCGTCGCCGTCATGCTCGGCCGCGACTCCGTTCGCGACGTCATCGCCTTCCCCAAGATGGGCCGCTCCGGCGAGGATCCCATGGTCAAGGCGCCCAGTCCCATCAGCGAGGAGGCGGCTAAGATCTATCATCTGGCGGTGAAGGAGTGAGTTCGCCGCTTCACTTGCCGGTAGTCGGTGTCTCTGTATGTGTACGAATTCAATGAAGCGAGGCGGGATGCATGACCGGCTGGCTTATGTACTGTACCATATTATTATTATTATTTTTGTATAGAATCTAGAAAAAAGACATCTTCACTTTATTCATCACTCGGATATAGTATAGCCTTCAATACTATCGATACAGTACAGCTCCATCTACCGAGTACATCACCAGAGTAAGATCACAAGCACATAAAGAATAATCATAGCTCCACGCGGCGGCTGTTATACAAGACAGAGGCACAGAAGGCCATCGAAACCAACAAGAAAATAAAAGGAAAAGACAACGCCCGTCCCACATTCAACCAAAACAGGGAATCTAAAATATAACACGTAAATGAGGGAGTGGGACCAGAATGAAATGCACTAAAGAAAAATTCACATATAACCCCCCAAGGCATGCCAATCATTCTATATCTGGTTTCTGTTTTACACGGTTTTTGGTTTTTGGTTTTTGGTTTTGTTTATCCGGTCTAGGCCCGAGAGGTGACCTGCGTGGGGGTGGTGGAAGTAGCAGCAGCTTCCTCCTCCTCGTCCACGTACACATAGTCGGCCTCATCATCCTCGAGGTCATCGGGCGGTCCGAACGCTTGCTGCCACACGCCATCCCAGAGACCCTTCTTGGTGACCAGGCCGCCGACCAGCAGGACGGGGAGCTGCCAGATACTCGCCCAGAAGAGGCCGCGGGCGCTGCCCTGGCCGCCCTGGTACTTCCAGAAGCGGTAGGCCTCCTTGACGAGCCAGGCGTTGGCGAGGGAGCTGCTGACCAGGAACCCGTGGCCGACGACGCCGACCCACCACAGGCCGATGGAGATCGGGAACATCAGCACCGAGTAGCGCAGCGCGACGCGCGCGTTCATGGCCGGGTTCTTCCAGCACAGCATCTTGTAGCCGGCGCGTTTGTACTCCTCGCGGATGGTGTGCGACAGCGCGTTGAAGTGGGGGAACTGCCACGCGAACAGGATCCCGCCGAGCAGCCAGCCGCCGACGCTGTCCTCGCTGAAGAGCATGTCGCGCCAGGTGTCGTGGCCCGTCGTCGCGGTCTGCCCGGCCGCGGCCACCCAGCCCATCAGCGGCGGGATCCCGCCGACGATAGCCCCGACCCAGGTGTTGATCACGTGGATGCGCTTGAGAGGGGTGTAGATGAAGCCGTAGAGGATGATGTTCCCCGCGGAGAGGGCGGTGACCGTGGGGTTGGTGCCGAAGTAGAGCAGGCCCAGCCCGGAGACCGCGGTTGCGATCGCAAAGAGCACGGCCCCGCGGCGGGAGACGAGACCGCGGACGAGCGGGCGGTTGCGGGTCCGCGACATGAGGGCATCGTACTTGGGCTCGAGGAACATGTTGATGGTGTTGGCGCAGCAGCTGGACAGGAAGGTGCCCGCCGTCAGGTAGAGGAATGTGAGGGTGGAGGTTGAGAGGGTCGGAAGCGGGGTCATCGAGGGATCCAGGGCGAGGAGCGTCGAAATCGGGTACATGCCGTAGGCTGCACTTGCGCTCAGCACGACCAGAACAGACAACCGGGGTTTGCAGAGCGCGAGAAAGGCCGCCATTTTGCGGCGCGGGGACGTGGTGGGGAGGGCGGAGGAGAAGGCCGACAGCTGTGCGGAGGCGTCGGGGGGGATGACATGTTCGGCTTCGGCGTCGCTGGCTGCAGCTTCATCCTTTAGTCGTTTCCTTCGGCGGTGTGGAAGCTCTGTCTGCGTGGAGTCGGAGGTAGTTGAGACGGGGGAGGAGGAGGAGGAGGTAGAGGTAGAGGTCGGGTGGTGGTCTGATGCTGATTTGCGGGCGGGGGAGTCAGGTTGAGGGTTGCCATTGTTGGTCGACAGCGAGGACAGCAAGCTGCTCTTGTCTGCTGCAGCATCTTCGGCGCGATTGGAGGAGAAGAAGGAGCGGTGGAGAGGTGCAGGAGGGGATTGAGAGGCGGCACTGCCGGAGTGAGGGCGGGAAGACGAGATGAAGCCGCGGAGACCAGCGGCGGAGAGACGCGGTGGAGGAGCACATCTCCGAAAGCATTGGGATGAGATCCGACCGGCATCGCGAGTCGGTCCTACTGCTCGCAAGGAGCAGCGGAGGAGACTCATGACGAAGAGATGGGGAGAGGCAGCAGACGGCCGTGGGGAGGTCGGTCTGTTTGAATGCAGAGCAAAGCAACGGGATGGGAATCGGAAGGATTGAAGCCAAAGAGGGAAAGATGGCGGGTGCGGGCGACGGCAGGGACCAAGCATGCAGTGCGGCGACCGGTGAGATTCCACCTGTTGTTGGTTTGATTGTCATCATCTGTTTTCTCTTGTTGATTTCCGTTGCCGATTTTCATTCTTCTCTCACACTTCAGCCTACTTATTAGGAAAAGGCATCCACCTTCTCATACACACCAGCAGCCTTCCTCCTCTTCCTCCTCTTCCAGCAAACAATCCACTCGTCATGGATGTCCTCCAGAAATCCGTCCTGGATCCTCTCCAGCCCGTCCTTCGCCCGATCGTCTCGGCCGTACCCGAACCCGTGCACGATGCGATCATCTCGCTGATCGGCCAGTCCTGCCACAACGCCTTGGTGGTCGATCTCGACATCAGCAAGGACCCCGCCTGTACCTCGCTGGCCATTTCGAAGGCGCTGGGCATCGCCATCGTCGGCGCCAGCGCCATCGTCAAGGTGCCCCAGATCCTGAAGCTGATCAACTCGCGCTCGTCCGCCGGCGTCTCCTTCGTCTCGTATGCGCTGGAGACGGCCAGCCTGCTCATCACGCTGTCGTACAGCGTGCGCAACAACTTCCCCTTCAGCACCTTCGGCGAGTCAGCCTTGATCGCCGTGCAGGATGTGGTGGTCGGGGTCCTGGTGCTGGTGTTTGCGGGCCGATCCGCGGCCGCGGCGGCGTTCGTGGCGGTCGTCGCCGCCAGTGTGTATACCTTGCTTTTCGACCAGACCCTCGTGGATGCGAAGACGATGTCCCTGCTACAGGCCGGTGCGGGCGCGCTGGGTGTGGCCAGCAAGGCGCCCCAGATTTTTACGATTTGGAGTGAGGGTGGCACTGGCCAGTTGAGTGCATTTGCCGTAAGTATTTTTTTTTCATTTGGTGTTTCGCCATGCGCACTGTAGCTAATGTCTTGGTTCCAGGTCTTCAACTACCTCGCCGGTTCTCTGTCGCGCATTTTCACGACTCTGCAAGAGGTGGACGACAAGCTGATCCTGTACGGATTCATTGCCGGATTCTCGCTGAACCTGATCCTCGCGGCTCAGATGTTGTACTACTGGAACAGCCCGGCCAAGTCGCAGGTCAAGAAGCAGACCAAGGGCAAGCCTATTGCCAGCGCCAGCGCCAGCGCCGCGGGCGTCTCGACCCCGAAGCCCAGCGCCACCAGCTCGGGCATTTCCTCGCCCAAGCCATCCGGCAAGACTCCCACTACCCGGCGACGCGGTTGAGTGGTCTCGAATCCTTTTTCTTAGCTTCTTTAACCCAGATAATTATTAATCTGTTTGTTTTTTTTCCCACAAATCTCCCCCGCTCCTTGTAACGCTTGTAACCATTGTAACGAGCAAAATCACCTCTGACTCGGCATAATCCCAACGGTCATAAACCGCAAAATCTCATCCAACGGCACAACCGGCGCCACAACCTTCTGCTGCCCAGCATGCCCCGGGCCAGAAGCAGCAGAAGCAGAAACCGGCGCAATATCAAACTCCAACCCCTGTCCCACCCCAGACTTCCTCCTCACCCCAACGACCTCCATCTCATCCGGCTCCCCCTCCCCTTCCTCCTCCCCACTCTCCCCCTCCTCCTCACTTTCACTGTCATCATCATCCAACACACGCCTCAACCCCGTCACCACGTTCCCCACGCCTTGCTCCCGCTCCTCCAACGTAAAGTTCCCGCCCCAATTCCTCCGCCGCGCCTCCTGGTTCGCCTCCACCGGCGCCCAATCCCACAGCTCGGCGAGCGCGCCCAGATCATCCAGCCCTTTACCATTCCCGTCAGCCCCCGGTGCTGCACCGCCCCCATAGTCATTCCCCGCACTGCCCGGCACGAACGGAGGCGAGGCAGACGCCAGCGACCCACCGGCCTTCCGGCCGCGCGCGACCCAGTCCTCGACCCGCGGATCGAGTTTGGTGCGCAGCAGCTGCTCGAGGGCGACGGTGTTGGCCGGGTTGCGCGAGGGGTAGGAGGGGGCCGGGTAGGCGACGAGGGTGGCGAGGAGGTCGCGGTTGTCCGAGAGGTGGTCGGAGATGGTGAGGAGATTGTTGCTGATGATTGTTGCTTGGGATTGGAGGGAGGTCCTATCCGTCGATTGTATCAGTAATTGGTTGGTGTGGGTCAGTTTATCAGTAGTTGGTGTTGCTTTTACCCAAGTCCTGGTGGAACTTTGGTTGTTGGGGTTAGGGTATGAGGGTAGGAGGAGAGAGGGAGGAAGGGAGGGAGGGNGGGCGGGGGGGCGTCAATGAGGGTTTGTGCATATGTCGATGACGCTGAAAGGGGAAAATGCAAAAGGGGGTTTGAGTGGGCATACCATGAAGGCAGGGGATCACTCTGGTTCAAACTGGTGATCAACGAGGCCAGGGAATGCGTCAATTGCACGAGGCGTTGACGCGATTGCTCGAGGGTTTTGATCTGATCGGGGGTGAGGGAGGACATTTTCGTGTTTGTTCCAATTTCTTTTGGTGGGTTGATGGTGGAGAGGAAAGGCCTGTCCCAGTCCAGAAAGAGAGGACAGAGGACGTGGTGGTGGTGAGGTACTGCTTGCTATATCAAGATGCGGGCGCAATGAAGGCGGGTTGGTTGGCGGAGTTCGACAGGGCAGCGGAGATGTTGAAGGTGTTTCTGCCTGAGGCGTCCATAGCCCTCCCCGCAAGCAACTGAGGGTCGATCTGCTTATCGCTTTCCATCTCCTCTCCCTCCTCATGCTCCATACTATACCCACCCACCTACCAGTCTACTCTGGAGTACGTCTACCACAACCACCATAGTAAACAAAAATCTCCATCCTCCAGAATCCTGGCGCCTACTTCATCATCTTCCCCTCACCATTAATCATCGACTTTGCCTATTCTTATCTTATAATCTCCCCCGTGGCTTTCGCCATGAAACGCACTCCCTAACCGTCCAACCAGTCATGATCCTGCACCAAGTCTCCCGTGTTTATTTATAGACCTCCTGGCAGGGATTCTGCACGCCTGTTCACACACTTGGCCCCCTCTCATCCTTCCCTCCTTCCTGCCCCCCGCGCTTAACGCACCGGGGAAATAGAGAATATAAGCCCCGTCTCCTGCTCTGTTCTGCAACAGAGGCGGGGATTTACTATTCAGGGTCTTCGGCAAGCGTTTCTTCTATCTCCACTGTGGGACTCACCTTGGAAACTACACTACCCTTTCAACGCGCTTATGGTTCTTCAGTCGTCTTCAGAACTCTTCAGATTACTGCACTTCACGAACCTCCAAACATCCTATCACTTGCAAGACATTACCAACAAAACTATGTGCCACACTCGAAGGAGAGGGGGGTATACAAGATATGCTCCTCACGATGATCCCATCTGATCCGCTCGTCATAAACATCATAAAAGAGACACAATGTGCTAACAAACTCTAAAGACAACAAACATTATCGGCCCTGTAGTCAGGCCGGTCAGTGACTACCTCTTCACGTCGAGGTCAAGACCTGCCAGTGGAACCTCTGGCTGCAACATCCGCCGCCCAGGGGAGGAACAGACTCATGATTTAGAGTCAGACTTGACAGGGAAGAAGTCTTCAGGCCTCTTGCCCTTCTCTTGCGGAGACACCGGAGAAATGTCACTCTCTATCGCCACCGTCGTCTCTTTCACATGCTGCTTGGAGTGTCCCACCACCTGACTGCGCCCATCATTATCCACAAACTGGAAGCCCGAGCCTTCTTGCAGTTGCTGTAGTTGCTGCTGCGGCTGCGGCTGCTGCTGATACGCCCCCGGCGGATACATTTCCTGCGGTGAATATGCCGGACCACGCCATGGGTGCTCCACAGCCAGAGTCTTCCATCGCTGCTGCTCCGACGCCCGCTCGCGGCGGACATATCTCCGCCGCCAGCCGAGGCAGAAGAAGAGACTCATCGTGCACAGACAGACAAAAGTCACAAACCCCATCACTGGAAGCCCGATCAGCGTCGCCAGTCGGTAGTTGATGGGGTCGTGCGCCGTGCTGTTCAGCAGATCCCTGTTGTAGAAGGGAAGCTGAATTTCGGAAAAGATATCCGATGGACTGATGGGAAATGCCGTGTCAGTGGGCACGGGGAAATGACACTCATAACGCATCGCCTCGAGAACTGATGGTTTCCAACTCTCGTTAGCGGCCTTGTTCTCGGATTAACAGAAGATCATACGCACAGTTTGCCAGATACCCCTGCGTGCTTGTCAGGTTGTAGCAGTTACTACAGGTGTCGATGTGGTTGTCGGCAAATGCCCCCGTGGCGCAATAGGCCCGCAGGTTGTTCTGATTCGGGTTCAGCAGCTCAAACTCGAACGCCGGGCTCAGGCCCAGGCACGCGACCAGACAAGGGGTCGAAACCGTGTTCACATCCTTCGGATACCCGTAGACACAGGTGTCGAATGCGAACCGGAGATTATCTGAACAGGAAACCTTATCAGCGCCTGATGTCTACCAGACACGGAATCAAAACTTACAGAGACCCCAGTTGAAGTCACTGATCTGGGTTTCAGCATCGGTATAATTGCTCTGTAGTTCGCAAGAGACGCATTCTTGGAACTTCCGGCCAGTCTCGGTGGTGTTGTACGACTCGTCCAAACAGACCATCTCCGAGGAAGTGGTGTTGGTCGGGTTGCTACAGACGTCATAGCACGGTGAACCGTAGGTAGCATGCAAGGCCCCGGCCGGTGAAGTCAGGGAGGACAGTAGCAGCAGTAACGGTGCTGCTACCGACATGATCGTAGATCGGGAGCTCGGGCCCCGCGGTTCGAATATCATGCCGATGTTCTTAGGGTTGGAATGATCGATCGTTCCTCGAGCTCCCAGTAAGACGAAATCACCGCGCTACCTTACAGCCAAACGAATGGAGGTGCTGAGTGCAGGAGGTCGACCGAGCCCAGCATCGAACTCACCGCACGGCAGGAGGATAGAGATAGCGACAGGAAGTGGAAGACCCAAGAGAATCCCAGGGGCAAAGATGAGGGAGAAGCGTGCACTGGGGGCACGGATGGAGGGGAGGGAATCAGAGGGTAGAAATGGCGATGCGGATCCCACGAAATAATGCATGACAAGCTCTTTCGGTTGGACGGCATGAGGGAGCGGAGCCATGTTGGGGACTGATAGAAATGCATGCCACCGCACTGGCGAGAGCGAGAAGGAGAACGAACCACTTGGTTTCCGTGCCGGATCACCAAGCATTGGAAGACACTGCTGGTACAACTAGCATTAACCAGGATTGAACCATGGCGGGCAAAAGAAAACTCCTCCCCTGGGTCAACCTGGGCGCTAAGGAGGAGCCCCCTCTCCCAAGCAGGCGAGGGGCTTGTTGATCACTGTGACAGGACAACTGTGACTGTGACATGTAGTGCAGAAGCTTGCAGTCCCGGGAAAGCGCATGAATCAATGTGATTTGCTAGCCTGGCTCATGCAGGAGGAGGAGAACAAAAGCACTCCCGAGTCGGCTTGCGGGGTTCGGCGCTTGCACGCAGCCTCGCATTGGACAAGATCTCAACTCGCCGCAACTGCTCTCAGTCAGCCCTCTTCGCTTCCAACCATGGTTTGCCTGTTTGCTTGTTGATCCTCTGTGCTATACAGCGAAGATGGTGTGATCGATAGACTTGATCAGATCGATTATCATTGTTCTCCGCCGGAAATGCAACCTTGACGGAGGAAGAGGAGACGCCATCCTCGCGCAGGATGGCCATCCCCCGAACAATAGTACCGGGAAATATCAATAACGCCTCCCAAGCAGACAACCGCAAACAAAACTAATTACACAGAACGCCACAATGCAGCTTTAATCATCGGGCTTCCATCTCCGCGAGCTACACCATATGCCTCTCAGCCAGCGAGACATCAAGCCTGGTCCGTTCGGTTCGGCCCCTCGCCATCTGTCCGGGGCTGGGGGCTTCCAGACAATTCACAATCACAAAATGCCACTCGACCAAAACGACCCAAAATGCGTAAGCCAGAACAGCCACCCAATGTATCCGCCAAGATCTCTCCATGGACCGTTTACCCATACAGCTCATCGTAAGATGGAACCATCTCCTGTGCTCGGGGAAGCTCCTGCTTAGATCGTCGGCTAGCCCTCCGCTCTGCCAGCGTAGAGGATGGTGGGATAATCCCCGGAATCCGCTGATCCTCGGACGGATTCGAGGGAACTGAGGAAGTATAGCTGTTATGTCTCGATCCGACCGTCCCTGGCATCGACACTGGAGACTCTGCCAAATACCCCTGGACACTACATCCGCGCATACGCGACGTGACAGACAATGGGGGCGACTTGGACGCTCGCGAGTAGAGTTCAGAATCCTCGTACAAACTGGGTCGACCGGAGGAAGGCTGGTGTCGCCCGTTCGATACATTGTGCGGTGATGGAACGGTTGCCCCTTCTGTCTCCTCCATCGAGCCATCGTCGGAGCACGAATGATACCAGGCACTCGGCGGGTGAACAACGTTTGATTCATACGAATGTTGCTTCTGCCTGGTGCGATTACCCACTCGCGCATCGTAGTGGCCTGTGGGAATGGTCATGGCTGAATCAACGGATTGTGCTCGCCCATCTCTGCCGGCTGGCTGTCCCGAAGCTCCTATGCGAGGCGAGCTGGCGCATCTACCAGGCTCGAGTGAGTTCTGTCGCCGTTCGCGGTCTCCATCAGACGTGCGGGCGCCCACACTCGCTTGATCCCACTGGTTCCAAGAGCCGCCGTTGGGATAGGTGATAGATATGTCGCCCCATCGTGAGTGCAATTCGGATGATAGCTTCCGCTTCCTTCGCAGTTTCTGCATGAGGTTCGTCATAATCGCAAGAGGACTTTTCATGGAATGAAGCCTGAAGAGGCTGAGATGGGATTAGCATCGACGGCCGAGCCACGGAGGATCGAAAAGTTGAGGGCCAAGGAAGGAAGAGCCGAGACATCCACAGTACCTTTCAAGGATGGGGTGCCCCAAATGTGTAGCCGGTCCCCTTTTCTTACCCAAAATTCCCTCCACTACAACGTAGATCCTGAAGCTGTCTCAAAGAGGAAGGTAGTCGAAGGGACGAAGACCACCATGCGGCGCCGCAGGCTTCGAGACCCGTCTCTATCGAGCCGGAACACTTTACTCGATGACAGGAAAATTAAGCCGGCCGAAGGGCTCATGCATATCGCTCAAAAGGTTGATAGATGGGGGTCCCAGTCAGAGGGACCGACAATTGGATTTCCTTCAGGCAAGTCCTTCAGCAGCGGCAGGTAGTCATCCTGGGCCAGGCGAGTCAGTGACGGTCGCACGGGTGTGTAAGGCATTCACACACGACCCGACAGTTTGGTTCGCACACCCTCATCGCAGTCATTTTGTTTGGTTGGAGTGGGGGAAGAAAGTCGAGTGAGGGTCACTTTTATCCGAACACAAATCGCTTTTATGAAAGCGGCACGGAGGTTGGCCGCAATCACTGGCCATTAACGAGCGTTTGAGGCAGGAAGGGGGTCCGGTCCGCGTAACTGCTGGGCAGGGGTGAAGAGGTCACTCGCGAAGATGTGGACGCGGCGCAGTCAACTTGCTTTTGCAAGTTGCTAGCTGCGTGCAGCTGCTGGGATGGCAGACAGCAATGCGCCTAATAATTGGTCGTCGTCTTGGCATGGCGCATCTAGTGACCTCGGCGTCAGTCAGCACTGGAAGACTGGGAAATATCCTTGTCGAGGCTAGCAGGTTGGTAGTATCGATTTTGAGACATGCCATGGTGAAGACGGATGAGGCGATATTAACCGCCGGAGGTGATAGCTGGAGGCCTCGTAATAGCTAAAGCAAGGACGCGAGATTTGCGCAATTCCCTGGTCAGCAAGTAATTAGGGCGAAGCCAGTGGTTCGGCCGGCATCAGCAAACCATTTGGCTGTTCGTCCAGGAGGCCAGGGTCTGGCGACGAGAAAAGAGGGGAAGCCGCACAGGACAACCACCGGTTTGATCGTCGCGGCTGGACCCGAACCACCCGCCGAGCTTATCTACGCGCCTGGATGGATCCCCTCCAGCAGACGAGGAGTCATTGTCACATCTCGTCGTCACTCCGCAGCTTGTCGGCTCCGAGGAATCCTCCTTCGTTCTCTAGCTGCAGGGCGGCGACCATGACCCCCTCTCTGGTGACCCTAGCAAGAGCGAGAATTCTCGAGATACCAGACCATATGGCCAGCCCACTGATTGTAGCTTTTTCTCCTTTTGGTTAATGGACGCAGACTGGGTCCTGCAAAGTCGTCGTCTGTCGGCTCGCAAACGTTATGGCGTGTCGCACTTGTTGCCGAGTACCCAACAACCAACCCCAACCTCCACACATGATGGGGTAGACTATAACCTGTTTGTTTGTGGTGTTCTAGCCGCCGGATGTAACCATTTGAGGGATCAATCCATTTCCCTCCGCGATGGACGAAGTACTAAGGCGACTCCAGCTGAGCTGTCGTGCGTCAGTAGACCCGAAAGCTTTCTCACAGAGAGGACGGGAAGGAACAGCGAGGTGTGAGGGGAGAGGGGTAAGGGAGCTTGGAAAAAAGTACCAACTTGGAGTTGAATGACACCCGCTCATGGAAGAGCTGCTCCGGTTTAGCTCATGTAACAGCATCTGCCATCGGACGCTTCAAGGCAGATCGCCAATAACTGTGGACGCTGAGCCTGTAGGACTTTTGGCGGAGTAGCTCCAACCACGAGCTCAGACCATCTCTTCCCTGTACTCCGTAGTTGGTGTGCTGCTTCATCCTCTCCATCCTCTCTTCCTTCTGGTAATCATTGACATCATAAGCATCAACATCACAGACATCATCATCGTCGTCATCATCATAATGCATCCAAGCAGCTTTGTCCTCCATGCGTTCAATTCAACACAAGTCGACCAACCATAACAGAAACGAGCGCTATCCGAAGAATTGAAAGCAGAAAGACAAGAGAGGTATCAATCTATAAGCGAGCGACAGAAAGGTCTGAGAAAAAAAGAAAGAGCCTCCTCCTCTCGTTATCATCGAAGATCCGTCACCAGTCTCGACAACACAGGTCTAGGTTGTCGCGGCATCTGCTGTGCTGTGCCATCTAAGTTATTAGACGAAGAAAGAGAGGCATCATCATTCAGGTCCCGCAAGGGTCCTATCGTGGGTGAAGGCTGAAAGGAGAATCTAGGAGTAATCAACGAGTCCCGCTGAGCCATGATGGGAGCTGGTGGACTCAAGATCGACGACGGGGGTCTTTCCTGCCGAAGTCCCAGTGTAGGATAATGATGATAGGGGATAGCGAGCCCAACAACCGGAGCAGGAGGGGGAGGGGCATCGACCCTCTGATATCGAGAAGGGTCATAGGTGGGTAAGGGTTGAGGTTGATAGGCTGGGGGTGGATCGCGAAGGAATTCATCGACCGGGCTGTGGTAATGAGCTGAGAGACGCGACATGGGCTGGGTTGGGGGAGGGAAGGCCGATATTGTTGTTCCTCCTCCTCCTGCTTCTCCTCTTCCTTCTTCGAGCTGCTGCTCCTTCTGGTTGGCGTCGAGATCACGCAGAGTGGGATAGTAGCCCAAGGCGTAGGAGATGTGATGGTCGATGAGGAACTGTCGGTCCTCGCGGCGTTGCATGGAGCGTCTCTTGTGGCAGAGGAAGGCCAGGATTCCGGTCACTGTTGTTGGGCTGATGGTCAGTTTGGCCGAGTTCGTCTTCTCGGATCCAGTCCCTTCCCTTTCCATGTTGGTTGTGTGGTGAAGGCGACAACAACAACAACACAGGAACCAGACACAACACAACACAAGACACAAGACACAAGATAAAACAATCCAGAGGGAAGAAGGACGAATTGGAAAGTTCAAGGCTCACCAGCCACCAGCACGACACTCCCAAGGACCACTCCGATGATCATCCCATCCATACTCGACGATGAGAGTCCTGCCGATCGCACCCCGAGGATCCGTGGCTTCATCTTGTATGTGCTCTTTGACGTCTGTCTATCCAAGTCCAAATGCTCGACTGAATTGACCGACTGACCGACGACCAGACATACATCCAATTGAGCAGTGAGATAAAACCCCAGTACACTGCGTTCCGTTCTCCTCAATTCACACTGAGGAACCCAGAGACAGCAACAACATGCACATGCACACACACACACCCCACACACATGCACACAATGCACACGCACACACACTGCAATCTAACCCAACAACACGCAGAAAGAAAGAGCAGAAAGGGAGGAGGAAAAAATGGCAGCAAAGAGCGAAGAAGAGAAACCCTAAGAACGGAGCAGACGAACCAACCGGCCGCCACCTATCTTAAAGTAAGGTGAGAAAACCAAGATGAATGTCAAAGCACCACCCTCATCATTTCCCTTGGGTCGTTCCTCCCTCTCCCCACCTGGTCCCTTCCAAAAGCTATTTTAATCTCAACTGGTGGTGGTGGATGATGGCTCTGGCGCTGCATGAATGGAATCCCTTAGCCCTTACAGATGTCACACACACACCCACCACCCGCGTTTACTTTGCCCTTGATCCAGGGCTGAAGAAAACAAGCATAGGCGCAGCGTGGGTCTCCATTTCTTGCCGGGGGAGGGGTTAAAAATAGTATACTATACTTTGGAGAAGGGCTGTCTCCTGCAAGAGGCGGGGGAGAAAGAGACTCGATTGGATGGCGATGGTGGTTGATCTCCCCTCTCCCATCATGCCCTGAGCGCATGTGCAGTGAGTGGGTGGTTTCTCTCGTATCGGCCGGCGGCTATTTTGCTTGTCGGTTGCTGGGATGCGCGGACCAAAATAGAATCAAGAATCAAGCCATCGCTCTAGTCTGAATCTATATTTATACTGTTTGATAGCTCTTCATTCCGTACATGACTATCTATATAGCAGAATGTTGAATGCAATTGTTTGTCTTGGAATATGTCTTTCGTGGGTTGTGGTTTCGGCTTCGGTATTTGGCGAAGTTGCCATGTCCCGAAAGATACAGTACAGGACTAGATATTCTCCTCTTGAGGGGCATTACAAAAGAACAATATATTCCACGTTATCATATCGTGATCGCTAATATAAGTTATCGACACATTCCCCGCTCTCAACTCCTCTAGTCGTTCAATCTACTCCGCATACGGGCGGTATACCGCGATGCCTTTCTCCGTGCTCAGGTCCAAGGCCACCCCCGCCCCGATAAAGTACGTATAGCCTTCGCGCAAGTCGAACGTCGTCCCGTCACCACCGGCCACAGTCATTGTGCCATTGCCCTTGGTCACGATCAACAGACTAGGACCGCCGACTGGCTTGTATGTCTCCTTCTCGCCGGCCCCCAGACTGGTGCCCAAGACATTGAACTCACTGAACGGCGGGGCGTACACTTCCGTCTTAAAGTGCTCGCCCTTGTCGCTCTTCCGTCGCGGCAAGATCGCCTCGTCCGGGCCATGCGGTTTGAACGACAGCGCGCGGGTGAAGAGGTCGACGCTGTCCTTCTCCGCCTTAGGGCAGAAGCCCGTGCTGAGCACGTTGTCCGACCGGGCCATGCACTCCATGATATCGCCGTGCAGGTACGCGTGGATGCTATCCGCCGGAACGCAAACCGCCTCCCCGGGCCCCAGCGTCATGTAGTTCATCAGTAGCACTGCCACTAAGCTTCCGTTGTCGGTCTCCGGGTATTGCTTGCGTAACCGGTCGAGGAGACCAGGGATGTACCGCTGGTTGGGCCCGAATCGCGACTCCGGGATTTCCAGTAGCTCCTTAATCGTCTCGGCGACAATGGAGGGGGGCAGCGTCAACAGGATCCGGCAGATCTCGCGGAGCAGCTCGTCGTCAAGGCCGGACGTTTGGCCCGGGGGCACAAACTGATCGAGCGGCTTGACTTTCAGCAGCTGCTCGATCTCAGCCAAGGGCTTGAAGCCCGCAAAGAGCTCGAACTTCGACAACGCGATGGCGATCTCTGGCTTGTGGTTGGGATCACCGAACTTGCTCGGGTCCTCCTGGTGAAGCTTCTCGGATAGAGCCTTGTCAGGATGTAACTGCAGGGGGAGCGCCTTGGAGAAAGAGAGGATCTGTTCTTGGGTTAGACTGCTTGCGCTGAGCAATCGAGGCGTGTTGGCCGAGAGTTGTTTTTCATACCTTAGGTAGGTAAGGCACCTCCGGACCCCATTTGTCCAACGCGGACTTGCCCACAACCTCTGGATTCTCTTTCAGGTAGTCGCTCAGCAGCTGTCCTGTGGACAGGATTTTGGAGGGAACTGTAGGGTATGTGCCCATCCACATCTGTGACTTGTCAGTAGCTGAGCCGCTAAGAGCGGGTGCGATCGTTCGAACTCACTTCAGAATAGGTCTTAGATTCATCAACCTCTCCCGCTCCAGGTGTTTTGGACCAGAGCACACCGGCGAGGGAATCCTTTCCCTTCTTGCCCCACGGGTCATTCTGGAAGTTAATGAGCACGTGCTGAAAAGATCGAACGAGCTTAGATGACCGGCCATACCTTAACACCACATAGCAACTGGACTACTGAATCTGGCATGGTGGGCAATGTAGTAATGGTATGTGTGTAGGCTCAAGCACAAATGTCGAATAAATAGCGATCCAGGGGATAGAGAGCACATCCCTCCGAACACTATAAATCAATCTCCGTAGTTATTCTGTTGCTTATCTGATGTGCCCTTGAAATGCGTTAACATGGCGTCATGTTGTGGGGAGTCGACTTGATTCGAGACCTGGGTTTCATGGCGTCATGTCCTTATCATTGTCAGGGTTGTTCCTTTCCGAATTTCCACGACAAGGTAGTTTCAGGTACCACGGCAAGATCTTGCTCTCAAGCCGAAGTCAGCAGAGATATTAGTACTGAGTATTAGTGAGGGAGAGGATGAGATCCCGCCAATTGGGAGCGGAAAAGAAATTCCAACATTTGCGGGAGTCACAGTGTACAGTGGAAAGACTCGTCAGGTTGACGTCAGCCACTCGCCTCAAGGGTTAGTTAGTAATTCGGACAATAATTGAACTAGTTATTGAATCCGAATGAAAAATCAAACAATTCCAAAAATCGATGCTTGTGCACACATGTTGACAATAATGTATGATTGATTATATTATGAATATATACAGTGAGTACTTAAGTAACTAAGTTACCGGCTTCTACCAGAACTTTCAAAAAAAGCCATTCAGCCACCAAACGCCATGCCAAGAGCAATGCTATGCAAGATTTTAATCGGTCTGGTTCCGTAGGCCGTCACGGGCATTATCGAACGTCGATGCTCATGTCTCGTTGTTGAAGTCATTCGTATAGCTGGTCTGGCTCAGGTACCATGGCCGTGGTCATGTACCTCCCCAGCCGAGTAGCTCTTTTGTCAAACGTCGAGAGCCTGAGACCCCTCTCCACTGAAGCGCTGGCGCGTCGGCTACCGCTCGCCTCGCTTCGGCGCGGGGAGGCTAAAGATCGCGATTGTCTAGAGTGATGGTGCCCCCCCTCAAACACTTGGTCTCCGAATGCATCCTCGAGCTGGTCAAAACGGGTCCGAGCTCGCGCACGCCGTTCCAGAGAGCCTTCATCGTAAGGGATGTAGGAGCTCGCACGGCGGCTGGAATGAAGCTCTGGTGAAATCGCTCTAAGCTCTTCTGCAAATTGAGCGCCAGCGGGTATGTATTTGAATCGTGGAGAACGGGGCTCTGGGAATGCTGTCTTTTCAGCGATTTCGGTGGGGTAGTCTTGCTGAATGGGTCTATAGGCGAACTGAGACCGTCTGCGTTCCGCTTTGGTGGTGGGCTGTTGGTCTTTCTCCTGGGGATAGTCGATCGAGGTCTTGGATCGAGGATTGAGCCGCACAGATAGTCGGCGCGGGTTCAGAGCTTTGATGGACAATGAGCTGGGCCTGGCAGTTCGATGGTCATATTCTGTCAACGGGGCCGTCTCATCGTCGTGGCCGCGACTCATGGCGGAAGGCACGAAACCCGTGCTGCAGGACCCTTTTCGGAGCGAGGACTGGCGAGGATTCTCGTATTGATTCCAGGACCCCTCAGTCGGAACGGTGATTCTCACGTCACCCCATCGCTCATGAAGCGGCGAGGGAGAATCGTGTTTTCGGAATCGTCCCAGAGGACCTTTCACGGCGCTTGCCATCACGAGGGATGTTTGGAGTGTTGGCCACCTCGAAACAGAAACGAACAAAGAAATCAAGAGTCAAAGACAGCAAGCACCTCAATAGCCAGAGCAAGAACAAAGAGGAAGCCGCATGCTAGGGTTTGGGAAAGCAAGTCGAGGACCACTGGGATTTCAAGTTGGGTGTTGGTGGCTGTCAGCTTTGGCTGGACAGCTGAAGACTGGGCAAGCGCTTGTAGAAACACTAAAGAACACAGCTGAAGAATGTGAGAGGAGCCCAATCGGATCTTCGTTCCAGGCAGTTCGTGTAAGCACAGACCCAAACAAGGCTGAGAAGTGAATCCTTTGTGATCCGGGGGAGATGCTGAATATAAAAGCTTATCCATAGGGACGCAGTCGGTTAGGATGGAGCGATATTTGTGTCATCGTGCCGTAAGTCAGAAGCAAACAAGAGACATCCGATGCTGCATAATGCAAATTGGTAGGAAGTGTATGTTTCCAACATTAGAAGCACGTAACTAGCATGGAGATGAGCTTGGGAAGCATACTAGCTAGAGATTAGCCGCCGATGTCCCTGTAGATGGGAAGTGGAGAGCGGGGTTAGCCTAAGGCACCTAGTACTCATATGTGCAGTATCTATATTAAACTCAACTAATTAGTAGCACTGCAGCGGGTGCAACCCAGACTGAGGCCATCTATTGGATCGTTGGACCGCCAGACAATTAGCGATGCGCCAGAAAGAGGGGAAACCGTGTCGCTTCCAAGCTCTGTGCAGTAAAGCGATTCGCAGCAAGTCAAGTTAGCGCTGGTCATCACCTAGTAGGTGTCGGGCGCATGGGTAGGTAACCAGTATATGCATACTATTTACCAATTAGGTATTTAGTCGCACAGTCCAAGCCAATCGTGAGACCTCCTCATGCGCCCATGAACCTGTTCTATTTTAAAAAGACACAATTGACTCCATCCTGTATGCATCATGCATGTCATCGTAGGTCTGCCAGCACAAATACAACCCACCTAGGAAGTTCAAAATAGTAAATTGTCGAGTCAGCAAATCACGAAGCTCCATTTATCTGATGCAAGTCTATGGCTAGTGCTATCTAAATCAGGCCCAGTCAATGTTCTGCTACTCTAAACGCCGGCTCCTTACATCTAGGCTGCTCATGGACTCGGGTCATATACACTCTTAAAGCCGTAGGAAAAGGTATGCAACAAAATAAGCAAAAATGACTGGGTAATGCAAAAAGACTTGAGAACATGGAAAGAGCACACTTGCCACGTCAAAGCACAGACAAGGATGTGCAGCGTTCCGTGAACAAAATCATCGATTCATGTTAAAGTGTCAAAGAGGACCTGCTGGGGTTTTGGCATGGGTCGTTGGTGTCATTCGCAGCAGTTGGCGGGAAGGTGATAATGACGTCTCGTGCATACCACACGATACATATTCCGGAGAACGAATGGCAAACCCTTGAAGTGGCGATCGCACAGATTGGCCATCGGACGACGAGGAACCCGGCGTCGATTGTGAGGATAATGAATCACTTTTGAGAGCCATCCAAGAATAGGGGCATGGCTCCCAGGTTCGCCAACTGCTGCTCATCTGCGGCCGTTTGGGAGACAGAGTCTGTGTTTCTTCCTCGGTGTCAGAGTCCATGGAAGAAGGTTCGTCACCAGAATTGGAGGAGTCCTCCTGCTCCTCTTGCTTGCGTTGCTGATGATCGTGATCCCCACAAGCAGAGACCACGGAGGCAATGCTCTGTGATTGATCAGATAAGAAGACGCTTCGAGACCTCGGCAAGTGTGGGGTGTTTGGGCGGGTATTGTGATGTTTGGCGGACTTTCTTCGTTCCAATTCATGGTTGTACGAGCTTCGTCTATTCAGCATGCGCCCACGGCCACCACCGCTATCTAGCGACTCGACCGAGTAGCTGTTGAGACTATTATCTGACCGGACGCTGAGTTTGGCAGGACAAAATGCCACCCGTGCTCGCATTTTCTGTACCGCTATATCCAAGGCCAATTCAATGGCGCAATGGTTTCGAATGCGCCCGAGCTTGGGCCATGTTGCACGTTCGCCACTCAGGCATGCTTGAAGCATGAACTCGGTCGTCGGGTTCCTCAGCATGACCGGGAAATTGCTATACAGTATTTCCGGATAGATATTGATATCGCCGGAATATTTTTGGTTCACAATAGACATGGTCTTCGTCAAAGCTGTTGGACAAATTCCCATTTCGGAGAGAACTGTCAAGCGATACATTATTTCGTCTTTGGCCAGATGAGTGGCAGTATGAAGCCACTGTGAGGCATTGAAGGACGTTTCTCCACGCTGATGTGGACCATCGTCCTTCGGCAAGAATGGGACGACATGCGGATTGACCTGCGAGACGATAAAATGATTGACATTGAACATCTCCGAAAGCCGATTCATTGGCAGGTCGCCATCCACCGATCCATCGATATACTGTTTGTGTAAGTCGTGCCAGGGCGCCGGCTCTCCGGTCAGAGGATCTTTAGCCATGAGCTCGGATGGTGAAAAGACCAAAGGCACTGAGCAGGAAACAGCACTATTGAGGTTAGTCACGGGGTCGACATGAAGGATGTAAGACTGAAAAGCAAAAGGATGTCTTACACAGCAGACCAGATCAACACGTTCGGAGCAGTGATATAGTTCAACAACTTGGGAAGTTCGTAGACCCCAGCACTAGAGACGCAAATATTGAGTATTCGTCGTGTTCGATTGTATGCTTCCTGAAATGTTATATCGCCAAGCCAGCTTCTCATGAGTTTGGCCAGATGTGATATATCCAGAAATGAACCATACTTGAGGAACCGGGCTGTCTTCTGAAGTATATTATCTGTGTCACTCTCTTCGCCAAAGACTGCAAAATCGCCATATGCATAGGATTCCAAAAGGGCCGGAAGCTCGTCCTCAGTCCGTGTGCAGAACACTGCGCACACAATGCTGCCGGCTGAAGCACCCGAGATAATTCGAGGTAAGAGTTTCGCTTCGTAAAGAGCTTTCAGCACGCCGATATGGTTCATGCCGAAGGTCGCACCACCCGAGAACAGCAACGCGCTGCGCCCGAATGCCTGTCTCGCTGCGAGTAATTGATCGAGTATATACTTGGTTTCTAGACCATCACACCGATTTTGCCCCGATAACTCGACCAGCGAGGATATTGTGTCTAGAGCGGTCGTGATATACTTGTCTATCAAATCTTTCGTGCCCAGGTGGGAGTACCGATAAAGCGAGGCATTGCTCATGTTTCCCAAGTCGCGACTCAAAGACGTACGGACTAGGAACAGCATCCGGCTGACATCACAACTGATTCGGGCGTCTTCCAGCTGCTGAAGACGTTCTTGGACCAGACGGACGTCGTAGTCAGGTGAGTCGAGGGTTTGTTTCCAGATAGTGTGCTCTTCCAGGTCATCCAATTCGCTAGCACAAATCCGCCACTCGTCATATGTCACTGCCTGTACCGAGGTGTTAGTTGGATGGCTACCAGTTCATCTTCATTACCTCTGCTGGAGAAATTGCCAGCCGTAGACATCGTAACTCACATTCCGCTTTTTCAAGTAAAGAACCTGTTTCCTGTCTTCTATGTCAATGCGCGCTTTGGATTGCTCGGCACATACGCCATCTCTGCGGTAGTTCAATGTATCTCCAGCCCATGTCAAAGAGCTCTTGACAACGGATGAGAGAGAGGGGACTGAGATGGACTTGAGCAGAGAACGCCGAGACCCGCCGCTCGCGCCTCGAATCGCGTCCTGAGTTGGACGACGCTTGGATTTACTATTGCACTGAGTGCGCACGACGGTAGGATCGCGGAGTAATGACATGACAGGCTTGGGCCTGCATCAGTCCATGTATGAGGAAAGACGCATGCGAGATAAGCTTAGAAGAAGACGTCCGCAGAACTAGAGTAACAGGGACGATGATTGTGAGCTGGAAAGGTCTGTGGATGATTCTAAGGGTGGTCGAAAAGAGGAAGGAACAGTTGAAGAAGAAAGTACTGAGTGCTTACTCGATATGTGTGGGGGAGGGGAACAGGAAAGGGGGTAAAGTGAGGTAGAATGGAAGTGGAATTGGTTGTAGTGATATAGCCAAGTGAGATGGTATAATAAGCTGGGGATGGATGAATATGAATGGCAATAGTTCGTAATATTCTAGGATGGATGGATTAAGTTGTTGTTAGGCACTAACTACTAAGTACTTAGTTAGTTCATAGAGTGCGAAGGGTATAGAAAAGTAAAGTAAAGTAAAGTAAAAAAAAAGGTGTGAGGACAGGGATCTGGGGGTAATGATTGCAGATTGTATTGAAAGGCTCAGTCAGCAGCTGATGAGACCCGGGGTTGATTATGGGTGGGGAAAAGAGGAAACTCTCCAAGGTCTCACTCAACTTAACGTCACGAGGCCGGCCGGAGATTCAACCTCCCCCGCTGTCCTCTTCGGCTGCTGCCGATCCTCCCGGTCTGCACTACTCACTACTCATACTGGACGCGGGGAGAGAAATATGGAGCCCCGGGTCGGAATGATGCCTACATAATGACATTCCCTCAGTCTCAGCTTACAGAACCTGAAAATCCTGAACTTGGAATAGAATAGAAGGAGGGTTGCCTAGAGGGGCAACTGCCTAATGCTAGTTAACTGTCAAATGGGTAATATCCCTCATCGGGTCCCATGCTGCAGGGATTGACGAACCTGCTGAATAGAACTTGAACCACACAAACACAACTCTAATCGGATTCGCCTGGAATGCGCCTTGATGCCATCATGCACCACTCATCCTTGTTGCGCCCCCCTGGCCCCCCACATCAGCACGGAGTTTCGAGTCAGATACATTCCCAACACCAAATATTCCCCCGAAGGCTCTAGGTTTATCTTTCCGGCCTGATCCTGTTAGAGAGAGTAAGTCCAATACTAGCACCCGCTGATCTCATTTTCCCCACATTTGTCAGTCTATAGGTACTGTAACTACCATCGTTGAGTAAGGATAATTCTTAGACTTTGAGGTTCTCGAAGGCGAAAAATGTAGAACACCAACAGACTGCAAACAGAGTTCCATGCGCAGGGATGAGGTAATTATTCTTGCTTGTTTGATGAACGCGTGCAGCTGGATCCGCGTCCGGTGCGGTTCTTCATAAGGTGCGATCTTGCATGGAGGTGTGCGACCGTGGTTGCCGTGCATCGGAAGTCCAAGGGTCCAATAACAAGGGAGCCTTGCATCAACTACCTCTGATGAGGATGGCTTAGTTACCCACTATCGTGAGAGAAAATGTCCTTAGCAGGCTGCGATAGCCTTGGCGGGATTGGTGTGGTCGTGTCGGTCATTTAGTTGCTCGAGTGTGATG